ACTGAGGAGCTTGTGGGGGTGAATGTAAGCCACTATGGGCCGATTTATTGAGTTTTATGTGCCAAATGAGGTCAATTTTATTTTTAATTCATGCTTACGTCAATTTTTTCTTTTCTTTTTGCTGTGCTTCTTATGCTTTCTTCTGCTTTTACTCTGTTCTGTTTATTACCAATACTTTGGAATTTATCCCTTTGCTTTATTGTCAAAATTATATCACTTCAGTTTTATAGTATGTTATTTTTATGCTGTGGGTTTTTACTGTTTGATATAGCTTGATTTTATTTTCCTACTTTAAAAATAATTATGTTAATCATTGTAAACTGCTTCACGAACCTTGGTTGATAATTCAGGGTAATAATATCTTAAATACATTTAGATGACAGCAAATTGTACACATGATCTTGTAAGAATGGCTGTTCCTATGTAGAATCATATTCCGTCTCTAAAGAGTTATCATATTAAAACAGGTGCTCGTGATCATGAAATATTTGATGCTTAATCTATTTATCGAATGGCTGTTCCTATGTAGAATCATATTTCGTCTCTAAAGAGTTATCATATTAAAACACTTAAATTTTCATTTCACATATAAGCCTGGGAAGAATGTATGCCATCTACAGAGAGAATAAAACCGGAACAGCATATCTATTCAATACACTACCAATCTCACTTTTATGGTTGGGGAGAATTCTTAGAAAGATGAACCTAAACTGTGGATTGTGTGAGCCGTCTCATCTGGTAAATTACCAAATGCTGAATTAAAATATGGATATCAATCAGAAATAGTCAGAATAGCCTTTTATCAGAAATAGTCAGTGTTGCCATATTCACTGAGACAAAGATGGTTAGGAGGCCTGACAATGTACAAACCTGGCTGTACTTTGAACAAAGCTGCTGGCAACATTAATGTACAGAACTATGTTATTCTTTTCCTACAAACTCCTTGGGCTTAAGTGCTTCATAAGAGTTCAATGGGAACACTTTGTGAAATGATCCCTCACCTGAATTGTGATCCATTTTTGATCCAGCTCAGTGGAGAAGACCTGATGCAAGTCTGAGGCTATGTGGCCATAGGATATATCATATATCTTGAGTCACAATGTCTAGATGAGGTCATGGAATACTTGAGATGAAATTAAAGTGACCTGAACTTAAGAGGGTGCAAGCTGCATGCTCAGTACACAGACTGTCCCAGTGCCTTGGAAATGTGGTCTTCCTACTCAGAAAGAGTACCATTTGGAATTCCGCATCTTCTGCTGACACCAGAGAGTCATGGACATTTTCTGCAATGTATAATAACTACAGTTGGATTGCTTGAGTAAAGGATTTTTCTTTGAAAAAAGAGTCTGAAATAGATATTACTGTAAATTACTGATAAGACGGTAAGAGGAAGAAAAAATTAAGGAGCAGAACGCCTGGTTCTCTGATGACACCATGGACTTTTTCAACTTTGACTCTGATGAGGAGGGAGGTGAGGCTGTTATCAATTTATTTATTTATTTTAGACATTTGTTAGTCACCTTTCTACCTTGCAGAACTCAAGGCTGTTTCCAGTGTCAATTAAAAAAACTATGTTAAAGCACATGAAAGACCACAATTTAAAATCGCCAGTTAGGATTGCCAATAAATAAAAACAAAATTAGTTGAATGCAGTCCTAAATAAAACTGTCTTCAGCTGCCTCCAGAACACTGAAAGTGAGGGATCCAAAGTGCACCTCCCTGGGGAGGCAGTTCCATAACTGTGGGGCTGACACCGAAAAGGGCCTCTCCCTGTGACCTTATTTCCCAGGCAGGAACACATGGGAGAAGACAGTCCCTCTGATACCCTTGTCCCAAACTATGTAGAGATTTAAAGGACAAAACCAGCACCATCAGTATAATTGCTGTAGTATTGGAGTCACACGCTCCTGATAGTGGGCCCCGACCAGCAGTGTAGCCACAACATTCTGCATTAGCTGCAGCTTCCAAACACTCTTAAAGGGTAGCCCCAAGTAAGCATATTGCAATAACCAAGCCTAGATGTAACTAAGGCATGGATCACTGTAGCCAAATCTAACCAGGAGTAGGCATTGCTGATGCACCAGCCAAAGCAGGGCAAAAGTACTCCAAGCCACTGCAGCCACCTAATTTTTTAAGAGAGAAGAAGTGATTGAATTTATACCCTGCCCTTCACTACCCAAAGGAGTCTCAGGGCGATTTCTCACTAGAGCTGCCTCGCAGCACAGCACCCTTTGCCCCAACACAAACATGTCAATTTCACACCCAAGGCTGCGGGGCTGCATTTGACGGGGCTTCGCCCGATTTCCTCCGCAGTTTCGGAAATCGGGTGAAGCCCCAAGTCAAAATGCAGCCTGGGAGCTTTGGGTGTGAAATTGACATGTTTGTGTCGGGGCAAACAGCTGCTGTGCTGCGAGGCAGCTCTAGTGAGAAATCGCCCTCAGAGAGGCCGACAAACTCCTTTCCCTTCCCCTTCCCCTCCCCACAACAGACACCCTGTGAGGTAGGTGGGGCAGAGGGAGCTCTTGACAGAAACTGCTCTTTTTTCAAGAACAGCTCTGATCAGAACTAGGCTTGCCCAAGGTCATCCAGCCAGGTGCCAGGTGCAAGTGGAGGAGTGGGGAATCAAACCCGGTTCTCCCGGATTAGAGTCCGCGCACTTAACCACTACACCAAACTGGCTCTCAGATGATGGCTATGTCAAACAGCACTCCCAAGTAAGGCTCAGGGAGGGTTTTTTCAGAACAGGTCTAATCACTACCTCCTTGAGCACAGGTGGCATAACTCCCACTCTTAAAGAAGCATTTATTGCTCCCCTTATCCACTCAGCCAGGAAAGGCTGTTGTTTAACATTAAAACCACAAGATGAATACTGCCAAAGCATCAACAGATATGATACTGTAGCTCTATCATAAATTCCACAGTTTCCTCTCTAGACTGTGGACTAGAATTTATAAAAACTCAGTAGGCAGTATTGTCCATTATATACCCATATACTAATAATATTGAGGATGTTTTTAAAAAAAGAGGGGGTGGACACCTTGAGATGTCCTAGTGCTATGATGGAGTAGACAAAGGCTGCAATGATAATGCAGTCAGTGTGGCACTAATACGGTCCTTCCTTTTTTAAATATTAATTCATTCACCTAAATATACCTTGCTTTTCTCCCCAATGGGGACCAAAGCATCCTACAAAATCATTCTCCCCTCCTCCATTTTATCCTCACAGCAACAACAACTCTGTGAGGTAGGTTAGGCTGAAAGAGAGTGCTCATGGTCAAGCTTTCAGAGAGGGGACTCAAACCTAGGTCTCCGAAATCCCAGTCTTACAACTACCTTAAACTGGCTCTCATTTCGCTCTTCTCCTCAGAAGAGGCAGTAGCTCAATGGCAGAGTATCAGATTTGCATACAAAAGGTTCCTGGTTCAGTTCCCAGCATCTCCAATTCAAAGGAAGAGGTAATAGGGGTGATGTGAAATATCTCCACCTGAGATTCTGAAGAGCTGCTGTCAGTCAGAGTAGAGAAGACTGACCTTGATAGACCAATGATCTGATAAGGCAGCTTCATTGGTAAGACCAGAAACAACCTTTTATCTCATCACAGATCCAAATCTCTCAAGAACAAGCCAAGTTCAAATCTGGGCCCTGGATTTCTCAGGGAGTTCCTGCTCCCATGTGAATCCCCAGAGAGACCTGCTTCAAGTTCCAGCTTACTCAGAGATCAGAATAGTTTCTGATACAAGTAAGGTTACCAACCTCCAGGTGTGGCCTGGAGTTTATCTAGATTTACAGCAGACCTCTAGACTCCCAATATCAGCCCCCTGGAGGAAAGGGTAACTTCAGAGGGTATCACATCCCTGCTGAGCACCTTCTCCTCTCCAAACTCTCCCTTCCCCAGGTACTGTACCCAAATATCCAGGAATTTCCCAAGTACAAGAAGCAGGAATTTCTCTGTTACTGTTGTGGTGCTTTGACTGCTTGTTTAGCGCTCTCTCTCTCTCTCTCTCTCTCTCTCTCTCTCTCTCTCTCTCTCTCTCTCTCTCTCTCTCGGTATTCTGCAGAGGGAGGTGAGAGCCATCCCTGTTTTTAGTATGTGCCTTTTTGAAAGTATTGTTTGAAAAGTGTGTGTGTGTAAATAAGCTGGGTATACTGTGTAAATAAGGTAGGTATACTGAATTACACGAAATGAGCCTGAGTTCAGCCTGAGAGGGAATGGTCAATATAGCAGTAATGCCCTTCCCAGTAAAAGGGGGGGGGAAAGAGAGAGAGAGAGAGCTCCTTGAATTGCTACAAATGGAATTGTCCATAATTGTAATGGAAAGATCGTTCATGGGACTGGAAACAAGGGTTTGGAACCAGACTAGTATTTTCTTGGACACAAGGATTTCCACCCATAGGGTGTGACTTTCCCACCTTCCCACTGCCGCCCAAAACACACACACACCCCAATCCTGTTGCTGGGAGACAGGGGCACAGAAGAATTTCAGGAGGTATTGGGCTGCAGCAGGAAGAGGGAGATGAGAAAGTCACATTCTGCTGCTGAAATCCGTGCACCCCTGGAAGTGCTAGTCTCTGGATCCAAGGGGGGAGGAGGGGCAGTCTGCCTTTAAGAAGGGTCTGGAACATGATGGCCTCATTGGATCCCTTGTTGCTTATCATGTGATCACAAATACAAACCATTTGCTCCTTCCTAAAGGCCACCAGATTCTCTCCTTGACTCGAAGTCTTGCTAGTGTGTTAATCCCATTTCATTTTAAATTAGTTGTGGCTATTAACTCCCCCCCCCTCCATTACACACTACTTTGAAACTAAGACAGTTGAGCAGGCTAGTGGTTTAAATATGGAGAGCTGATCCAATGAAATGAGAGACAACTGCTAATGGCCCCGAGCCAGCGCTCTCTATTTTTTCACACATGTGTATGCTTGGATGACTGAACTGTGGATCTCATGTCAGACTTGAATATTGAATAACATTTAAGGAGGGTGCAAAAGTGCAAGCCAGTAACCTAATAAATAGAAGGAAAGGGCTAAATACCAGGGGGTGGGGGGGTTAAGCCTATTTGCATATATCAGATAGGAAAAGATTTAGCAACACCACCACTGGAGGCTCTTATATGATTTGATTTCTCTCAAGAGGCAGTTTTCCAAACTCTGTTTCTCCCTAATTGTAAAATAAATTATGAATTGGATGCACAAGAGGTGGTATCACATCGGGTGGCATCCAGTTACAAATCTTGCTTCCTATCACTGTGCCCAGTGGCATGTCAAACTGTTTCCTCTTATTGAAGAACACCCTAAAGCCTTCTCATGCCAATACAAAAGGTAGCTGGTATGTTACCTCTGGTCAGTCCATGGTAGGAAAAAGCAATTGATGTTATTTTAGGTTATTGGTCAACAAAATGTGGGGAGTGCTGTCATGATAACTGGTTCTCAGCACAAGAAGTGGCTCAGCACTGAGGGAAAAGGAAGAGGGTTTCCAGAGGTATCCATGAAGCCAATGGGAAAGAGCAGTGGTGCCTCTTTGAACCTGATCAGCAGGCCTGCTGGAGAGGCACTCCCCAAAGCAGCAAGCAGTTGAATCTTCGGCGCCCAGCTCCAGAGAGCATCCATTGACTTGTGACTGCTTTTGGGTGAGTGTACTGCATATCAAAGAGGAGAAGACTGGGGAAGGAACGTTATCTAAGAACGCTTAGGAATTCATTAATGGTCAGTGTGGGTTCCCTGTGCAGCATGGTATGAACTGGGCACTGCATAGGTCCAGTTCATCTTTGCAGATGAATGTGAACATTCTTATTCCAGACCAAGATGGCAAGATGTCAGAAAGCAGCACATCTGAAGAGGCGGAATCTGCTTTGGAGGCCACTGACAATGAGGAGGACAAAGAAAGGCCAGACAGTTCTGACACAGACCTCGAAATAGAAGGTGGTTGTTTACTGCCCTGTTTTCCAACCAGATCTTCTCTGTCATCTCAGCAATAACCTTGTGAAATAAACTAGGCTTGCTCAGGGTCATCCTGACCTTGGGAGCAGCTGTGGTTCAGTGATAGAGCACCTGCTTTGCATGGAGAAGGTCCTAGGTACAGTCCCTGGCATCTCCAGTTAAAGGGATCAGGTGGTAAAGTGATAAGGGGGGGGGAACTGTACTCGAGAGCCTTGAGAAGCCACTGCTAGTCGGAGTAGATAATGCCGACTTTGAGAGACCATTTGTCTGACTCAGTGTAAGACTTCTTTCCTAAAAGCCTGGGTTCTCTTCCTAAATACATGAATGCTTCTTTTACTTTCATTGTAGTTTAACAAGGCATGGATCATCTAGAAAACATCTGGAAAATCCTTGTCAACGTTTTTAATGGAAAGACAGCCATGAAATTAATGATTTTTAAAAAATGAGTCTCACCTACTTACCAGCCTTGTTTTTATACCAGTTCCATATATGCAAAGGGTATTTAATTCCTATATGCTCATTATCCCTGACCAGTATCCTCTCATTAGTTCAATAATAGCTTTTTACACTGATGCTATGTAATAGTTAGTTATGTTTGGTACTGCCTGCCAGTTCACCTTCCTTTTTAGGAATTTGTAGGATGGTTTTTACATTTTTTGTTTTGTATAACCCCATGCAAACTTGTTAAACATTTTATTCAAGTATAACTGGAATTTTTTTCAAGTATAACTGGGGGGGGGGTGGTTTAGAAGTGGAGTGCCAAAGAGTAAAAACAAATTCTGCAAGGTGTGCACAGAAATATTTGCAGCAGATATAGTTATCGGAATTTGGGTGGTGGGGGGGAGATCTTTAGCATGATGCACTTCAACTCCACATGTGGATTACCCTTGTTGGATTTGGGTGCTTGTGTGAAGTGAGCATAAATAGGGTTTAATTTAACGACAGGTGCTGCTTGTATTATAATGCTGAGTTGACATAATTGGAAAAGGGGCAGAGACCTCTTTTTTGTGCCTTTTTCCTGGAGTCAACATGAGGTTCACAAGTTTCCACAGAAGAACCTCAGAAAATCATCTGTATGACTACTTTAGAGGATGTCACAGTTCCTGAATCATTGCCCTCTGGATCCCCCAGGCAGGGCCTCGGCAGTTTGCTCTCTGCCATGAGTAAAGGGACAATACATTGCCAACTATACAGATTTCCTTTTCAGATGCTGAGCGATCATTTACACCCATAAAGGGTGCAGAGCTGTACAGAGAGGCTTGCAAGCTGGTGGGAGTGATTCCCGTCTCTTACTTCATTCGGAACATGGAAGAGCCCCTTTTTAGGAATTTGTAGGATGGTTTTTAAAATTTTTGTTTTGTATAACCCCATACAAACTTGGTAAACATTTTATTCAAGTATAACTGGATTTTTTTTCAAGTATAACTGGGGGTGGGGGGTTTAGAAGTGGAGTGCCAAAGAGTAAAAACAAATTCTGCAAGGTGTGCACAGAAATATTTGCAGCAGATATAGTTATCGGAATTTGGGTGGTGGGGGGGAGATCTTTAGCATGATGCACTTCAACTCCACATGTGGATTACCCTTGTTGGATTTGGGTGCTTGTGTGAAGTGAGCATAAATAGGGTTTAATTTAACGACAGGTGCTGCTTGTATTATAATGCTGACATAATTGGAAAAGGGGCAGAGACCTCTTTTTTGTGCCTTTTTCCTGGAGTCAACATGAGGTTCACAAGTTTCCACAGAAGAACCTCAGAAAATCATCTGTATGACTACTTTAGAGGATGTCACAGTTCCTGAATCATTGCCCTCTGGATCCCCCAGGCAGGGCCTCGGCAGTTTGCTCTCTGCCATGAGTAAAGGGACAATACATTGCCAACTATACAGATTTCCTTTTCAGATGCTGAGCGATCATTTACACCCATAAAGGGTGCAGAGCTGTACAGAGAGGCTTGCAAGCTGGTGGGAGTGATTCCCGTCTCTTACTTCATTCGGAACATGGAAGAGCCCGTTATGAACCTTAACCACCATGGGCTTGGACCTAAGGGAACCAAAGCGATTGCCATTGCTCTAGTTGTAAGTAATACTTCCCTCACTGCTGTCAGTTGCCTCCTGGAAGGTCTGAAACAGGTGCCTACCCTCTTGGCTTTCCAGCAAGGCACTGTCTAAGGGAGCTGGGGAGCAGTATAAGGTTATAGATGTGGGCTCGGGCTTTTCTGTCTTAATTGTGTGTTTTCTTGATATTAATAGATGATCGTCTTTGTACTGTGTTGGGGGTTTTTTTGTCACCCACCTTATGTGCAGCTGCCTGCAAAACTCAATTGAACATATGATTTTATAAATGTTAAGTCATAAAGGTTAAAAACCTTCTCTCACAATATATCCCTATGCAGTGTTCCCTCTAAGCTGAGTTAGTGTGAGCTAGCCCACAGTTTTTTAGCCTCCAGCTCACAGATTTTTGTCTTAGCTCAGGAAGGATGGCTTCAGAGCAAACTAATTCATGCAGCAGCCAAATCGCTTGCTCACAACTTTAATGCCAGGAGCTCACCAAGTAGAATTTTTGCTCACAGGACTCCACAGCTTAGAGGGAACCTTGTCCCTATGTATTATTGGAATGTTATTTAGAATTTCTTATACAAAGTTTATTATAGTTTATCTGAAACTTTTAAAGATTTTGAACAATGACTATGGTATATTTTATTCTGTGGTTCATGCTGGTGTAATTCTATAATACCGTAATAAATGATTTTGACTTTTTAAAACTAGCTGTACTAACACTTTATGAAGCCACAAAGTCTATACTTGCTGGTGTGTTATAGAGATGGCAAAGGCCCTGAAGGATGCGTAAATGGCTGACTTAGAAGTTATAATGCTGGTTACACAGGCTACATAGGTACTATTTAGTACAGTGAGAAAATGAAAGGATGAGGTAATGTTTATTTATTAAGAATAAATGCTCCACAGTGCATACAGACCAGTAAGAGAGACAGTTGACCTCTAAGTTCTCACAGAATTATCACAGCATTACTGTAATATTACTGTGGTTGAAAATCTTACAAATTGCCAGTTGTTTACAGCCTGAAGTATTGTTAAAATTACCTTCCTACACACTTGCCAGATAAGGCAAGAACTGTTGCTTCATAGGGGAGCGGTGGCGCAGAGGATTTATCCTCTGGTTAACATCTGAACTGAACAGAGCTGCTGTCAATTCTAGCCCGCGCTGGTGTGAGCTTTGTGAGCTGGTGTGAGCCTTGTCCCCAGCTCGCCGTCCACCCAGCGGTTCGAAAGCTTCGGCGAGTAGATAAAAGGGGTACCACTCCTTAGAGAGGGTGGGCACACTAAACCCCCATGGGGGAGGTGTTAGCCGGCGAATGGAAGGTCCAGCTCGGAAGCTCGGAAGCCTGGCAAAAAAGACCTCTTCAGCATTAAGAAGCCTGTGATGAGCCAATCCGGCCAGTGCGGCACTATGACTCAAAAGCAGTCCTGGAAAAACTGACGTCATCAAGCCACGCCGAAAAAGTGAATGCCGTCCGGAACACATCTGAAGCCTACAACTGAACAAAATCCCCGTCGGCTGCAAAAGTGTGCGAATTATATGTTGTCCTCCCTGTGTGAAAACTTAACTGTAAATCGCTCAGAGCCAGCAGCTCTGCAGGATGAGCGATCAATAAATAAAAAAAGATATATAACTGCGAAGACAACACAACAGCAAAAACAACCACTGTGAAATAGAGTTATTAAAATAAAGGCAAAAGTGAAAATGATTATATATACTCAAAGTGTTACTTTAATGTATTAGTTATTTCCAATATTCCATATGAAACATTCGGTAAAAATCTAGTTTTTTGCATCCAGTATCAAAATGGCATACAGAAAACCCTCACAAGGTAAACGTCCAAGGAAAATTTATAAGTAGAATTAATCAAAATCTGTGCAGTCAAACTCTATTAAGAAAATTGTATTTAAGTACTGGCACCTAGTACATGACATTCCTGGGTGTCAAGACAAACCTAATATTGGATTAAGGAGAACTAGGAACTTGCACAATATTCTTGTGAAGTCTGATACTATGCCACCTTTAAGAAAATCTTTATCTGTCTCAGGGCACTATAGATGTAATTCATGTTCTGTCTGTCCTCAAGCCTGGGAGACTAAGAAACTGGTTTTCCAAGGCTTTGAGTTTACACTACAATTATTCACTAACTGTGCAATGAGGTGTGCCATATATTTACTGGAGTGCAAATGTCAGCTACTATACGTAGGTTCTACAATGCGTACGGTGAGGATATGGGTGGTGGAACATCATTCCCCATATAAGGAACAAAGTTACAGAAGCACCCCTTCTGAATAATTTTCTGGAAGTTGGTCATATACCTGAAGATTTTAAGTTCTTGCTACTTGAGAAATGTGAACCCAGACCTTATACCAAGGATGATGTACAGAAGGAGCTTCTCCATAGAGAGTCTTTCTGGATTTATTCCCAGATATGCATTTAAATGGCAAGAAACAGCAACAGAGGAGCTGATATGGATTGGTCCTGGGGAAGGGCAGGGGCAGGGCTCTCCCCCCCCCCTGTGCTAAAGCAAACACTGGAATTGTCCTGTTTCTTATAAAAACTGTTACTTTCCTCCTATTCATGTATTGCTACAGTATTCATTTACAGTATTTTTAATGGGATGTCACAACTATTCATTTAATGGTTCCTCTTTTTCTATAGATCTCTCTTGAGAGCCTAAATGTAATACTAATAGATTGAGGTTCATTTAAGAGATAATGTTAAGCAGCTGTTTTCCATTTGTCTTTTACCCCTGATAAATATTGTTAATAACATCTATTTCCTCACTGACAAGAGAGATTGTGATTGCATGTCAACATAGAGAATTCTACGTTTTAGACTGGAGAAAGTACTTGACCTTGACTGTTTGCTGGGTGAGGGTTTTTTTTGCTAACAAATGATATCTGAGTATTGCAATTTAAGTAATTAATGCTGTTACTAGATAGCCTATGATTCCTTGTAGTTGCTCTGCCAGTTTCCTTTACTGAAGAAGGGACCAGATCGCCGAAATGTGGGAGTCAACTGGAAGCTGTGTCTCATTTGTGCTTTGGACACTGTGCGGATTTTGATTAATTCTACTTATAAATTTTCTTGGAGGTTTCCCTTCTGAGGGTTTTCTGTATGCCATTTTGATACTGGATGCAAATAACTGTATTTTTGTACTGAATGTCTCATATGGAATATTGGAAATAACTAATATATTAAAATAACATGTTGAGTATATATAATCATTTTCACTTTTGCCTTTATTGTAATTGCACTGTATTTCACAGTGGTTGTTTTTGTTGTTGTGTCATAACTGGGAACGGCACTGTGAAATCAGACTCCCCATCCGGGCATGTATTTCCAACTCACACCACACTTATGACGTAACAGTGAGCAAGACCTAATTTCTTGGCCCACATTAAGGGGCCTGGGGAAAGGGACTGAGCTTTCCACAATGGTGAAAGTGTGGACCACAAGCCAAAGCCAAAATGAACTTTAAAATGCTTTAGACACTCAGTCCTGAGACCAAACCACAATTGTGAATATGGGGATTCCCAGATATGCATTTAAATGGCAAGAAACAGCAACAGAGGAGCTGATATGGATTGGTCCTGGGGAAGGGCAGGGGCAGGGCTCTTTTGGGGCAGAAATGCACAGGAACAGAGTTCTGGCTGGCTTCAGAGTAGGCCATGCCCACTACAGCCAAAACCTCTGCATGCATGGCTACAGAGAGCGACACACACACCCCCGTCGACTCTGAGGCAGACGGGCCAGTGGGGGCCCTGGAAGAATCAGGGAGGCATTTAAATGCCTCCCCGTGCCTCCCCTGGCCTGTCCAAGGGCTGGCTTGGCCGGGCTCCCTGCAGGCGCAGGGCGCCCAGGTAAACCAAGGGGGGTATGGGTGTGGCCTAATATGCTAATGTGCTGTGCTGTCAGGGGTGTGCCTTAATATACGAATGAGTTTTTGTTGTTGGGTGTGGCCTATTATGCTAGTGAGTTCCTGCTGGCCTTTTTCTACAAAAAAAGCCCTGGGCAGGAGTAGCTCATCATTCCCCTGTGCCAGTTTCCTGATCAGAAATGCCTTTCCCCCTCCATGTTGCTTAAAACGTAGTAGGGGAAAACAAGACAAACTGCTGTCTTTTTCTCTTCCTCAGGCTTAAAGCAGTCTGAGGGGGCATTTCTGATTAGAAAAATTATATGATCTGTCCTGGGCCCCAGCTCCTATCTTTCTGTGGGTCTAAAGAGTCATTGTACAGTTCCCCTGATGCTTCAGTAATGGGAGCTTTGTATATTCCATTACAAACACTACCACATAGTAAATGGTCCATGCTCTGTTATGTAACATTATCTGCCCAATAAATAATGCCATGTGGAAGCTGCAGTGACCTCTGTAATGTGTATCGATTATCACCCAAATAACATTAGCTGGTTTGGCTGGCATATCTCTGCTTTGGGGGGGGAGGTGAGACTGGTGGAAAATAATCTGTAGAGCAACCTTAGAATTTAATGATAAAGGCTTTCTCCATCAGTAAAGTAAACTAACCTGCTTGCATTTCTTTGTCCATGTTTGAATTCTTCATTCTGTAGTCCAACACAACCGTCACCCACTTAGAGCTAGAGGATAACTGGATTCTGGGTGAAGGAGCCACATACCTGGTACAGATGCTGCGGGAGAACTGCTACATCCAGGAGCTGGTATCCAATCTTTCCCTGTGTGGAGAGTGAGGGAGTTCATTTATATTTGGTTTTAGAATGAGCTCTTCATTGGAAATTTTACTAGACAATTTTATTTTCAATATATTTACATTAGTATTATTTATGTGCAAAGTGATATACAATTTTGAGCTTGTGTGTCCCTGTAAACCATTCAGTATTATGTCCCATTTTACAAGGAGAGCTCTGTCAGGTTCAATACATGCTATAAATGTACAACTCCTACTTCAAACCTCTATGCATCTTTAGTTAAATTTCTGGGGTATAAAGAGTGAGGAAGACTCTTGCCTGAGAATCTGCATCACTGCTCTCAGTCAAGAACTCAGGATAGATACCCTGTTTCCCTGAAAATAAGACCTACCCCCAAAATAAGCCCTAGCAGGATTTCTATGCATTTGTGGTATAAGCCCTAGTGGGTCTTCTTGAGAAAAAATAAATATAAGACAGTGTCTTATTTTCGGGGAAACACGGTAGTGCTGGTCTAGACCACTGATGCAGAAGAGGCTAAAGTGGACCGGTTCTATGAAGACCTACAACACCTCCTAGAACTAACACCAAAAAATGATGTCCTCATCATCATAGGGGACTGGAATGCTAAAGTAGGAAGTCAAAAGGTAACTGGAATAACAGACAAGTTTGGCCTTGGAAAGCAAAATGAAGCAGGGCAAAGGTTAACAGAGTTTTGTCAAGAGAACACACTGGTCATAGCGAACACCCTTTTCCAACAACCTAAGAGACGACTCTACACATGGACATCACCAGATGGGCAACACCGAAATCAGATTGACTATATAATTTGCAGTCAAAGATGGAGAAGCTCTATCCAGTCAGTAAAAACAAGACCTGGAGCTGACTGTGGCTCAGATCATGAGCTACTCATTGCAAAATTCAGACTTAAACTGAAGAAAATCGGGAAAACCACGAGGCCATTCAGGTTTGACCTAGATCGCATCCCTGATGAATATACAGTAGAGGTGAAGAATAGATTCAAGGGTCTGGATTTGATAGATAGAGTGCCTGAAGAACTATGGACAGAGGTTCGTGACATCGTACAGGAGGCAGCAATCACCACCATACCAAAGAAAAAGAAATGCAAGAAAGCAAAATGGCTTTCTGATGAGGCTTTACAAATAGCAGAGGAAAGAAGGAAAGCGAAAGGCAAAGGCGAAAAGGAAAGATTTACCCAACTGAACGCAGATTTCCAGAGAACAGCAAGGAGAGATAAGGAGGCCTTCCTGAATGAACAGTGCAAAGTAATAGAAGAAAACAATAGAATGGGAAGGACTAGAGATCTCTTCAAGAAAATTGGAGAAATCAAGGGAGCGTTCCATGCAAAGCTGGCCATGATAAAGGACAAAAACGGTAGGGACCTAACAGAAGCAGAAGAGATTAGGAAAAGATGGCAAGAATACACAGAAGAACTATACAAGAAAGACCTCGATGTCCTTGACAACCACGACGGTATAATCACTGACCTCGAGCCAGACATCCTGGAATGTGAAGTTAAATGGGCCTTAGAAAGCATTACTAACAACAAAGCTAGTGGAGGTGATGGTATCCCAGCTGAGCTATTCAAAGTCTTAGAAGAGGATGCTGTTAAAGTTCTGCACTCCATTTGCCAGCAAATTTGGAAAACGCAACAGTGGCCACAGGATTGGAAAAGATCAGTATACATTCCAATCCCAAAGAAGGGCAATGCCAAGGAATGTTCAAACTATCGCACAATTGCACTCATATCACACGCTAGCAAGGTCATGCTCAAGATCCTACAAGCTAGGCTTCAACAGTACGTGGATAGAGAACTACCAGAAGTACAAGCTGGGTTTCGAAGAGGTAGAGGAACGAGAGATCATATTGCCAACATTCGCTGGATTATGGAGAAAGCAAGAGAGTACCAGAAAAATATCTACTTCTGCTTCATTGACTATGCTAAAGCCTTTGACTGTGTGGATCACAACAAACTATGGCAGGTCCTTAAAGAGATGGGAGTACCAGACCACCTCACATGTCTCTTGAGAAACCTGTATAAGGGCCAAGAAGCGACAGTTAGAACCGGATACGGAACAACTGATTGGTTCAGCATAGGAAAAGGAGTACGACAAGGATGTATACTGTCACCTTGCTTATTTAATATATATGCAGAGTACATCATGCGAAATGCTGGCCTGGATGAATCACAAGCGGGAATTAAGATTGCTGGGGAAAAGATCAACAACCTCAGATATGCAGATGATACCACTCTAATGGCTGAAAGTGAAGAGGATCTAAAGAACCTCTTGCTCAGAGTAAAAGAGGAGAGCGCAAAAGTGGGCTTGAAGCTCAACATCAAAAAAACTAAGATTATGGCATCCGGCCCCATCACTCCTTGGCAAATTGGAGGGGAAGTCGTGGAAGTAGTGACAGACTTCACGTTTCTGGGATCCCAGATCACCGCAGACAGTGACAGCAGCCATGAAATTAAAAGACGCCTGCTCCTTGGGAGGAAAGCGATGGCGAACCTAAACAGCATGATAAAAAGTAGAGACATCACCCTGCCAACAAAAGTCCGCATGGTCAAAGCAATGGTATTCCCAGTAGTCATGTATGGCTGCGAGAGTTGGACTATAAGGAAGGCAGAGCGCTGAAGAATAGATTCTTTTGAACTATGGTGCTGGAGAAGACTCTTGAGAGTCCCTTGGACTGCAAGAAGATCAAATCAGTCAATCCTAAAAGAAATCAACCCTGACTGTTCCCTGGAAGGCCAGATAATGAAACTGAAGCTCAAATACTTTGGCCACCAAATGAGAAGGGAGCACTCACTGGAGAAGACCCTGATGCTGGGAAAGATTGAAGGTCAAAGAAGATGGGGACGGCAAAGGATGAGATGGTTAGACAGTGTCATAGATGCAACAAACATGAAATTGAGCCAACTTCAGAGGATGGCGGAAGACAGGAGGGCCTGGCGGGATCTGGTCCATGGGGTCACGAATTGTCGGACTCGACTGTGCGACTGAACAACAACTAAAAAGAAGGAGCAGTGATCTGACTGCAGAGCCATTGTTAGGGTTCTGCAGGTCCCCCAGGCAAGAGACCATCGGTATGACAAAAAAACAACAAGGGGGGGGGGACTCAACCCAAAATATGGCTGTGATATATGAGGGTCAAGCTAACAAAATAAGTTATTATACAAATGCTAGATCCCTCTCCCCTATACATTGTGTGCCCGTAGTTAGGGACAGAAACGGTGATTAGCACCAAGCAACTTGTAAGCCGCTCAGAGACCCCAACTATGGGATTAGAGCGGGGTATTAAATTGAAAGCATAAATAAATAAATAAATAAATAAATGATCCAAATATGAGACTCTTAAAGCTTTTTACATACAGAGCTGTTAATTTCACATGTACAGTTGATGGGTATATCTTATGACCATGTGCATTTCATCCCATTAGGGCCTTCCTCAGTGACCACCCTTAGTATTTTGTTTAAATTTAACTCCCCCTCATATGTACCTTAGTGCCTTGATTTGAAACCTGTGAAGCAGTCCTGTTTAGTTAATATCAAAGCAACCACCCCATCCCAAACACTTTTCTCTTTTGTGTAATATTAATTCTTAGGATGATCATATCATTGTGTTCCTTAATCAAACACACTACATCTGATGCCTTCTTCTAATCTGCTATTCAGGTTTCTAGAATGAACTCTTACAGTTCCATCCTTCAAAGCCCATGGACTTAGAAGGGTACAACTCAGTCATATTCTCTTCCTCAACACAATTCACAACTTTTCAGTAACTTCCGTTTTGCAGCTCAAAGTATCATAACACCAAACATAGCAGGTCACTTGCAACTAAGGATGCAAAGCTTGCTTTTTGTTTTCTTAACACTGTTGTCATTTCACCCACTTGTATTGCCAGGTTTTTTGGTTCTATGAAAAAAGGTCACAGGAAAAAACCAACTGTCATAAATATTCACAGGAAAAATGCTCACATGGAAAACTGCCCACATGGAAAAAAGCCCACATGGGGGGAAAAACCCCATGCATTAAAAAGCCCACACTGAAAGAAGTCCACATGGAAAAATACCATGTAAAACACCATCAATATCTATAACTGGATAACCATTCATCTCCACTACATGACATGGTTGCCACTTCTGTGCAGCAATATGAGCAGCTGGAAGATAAATTTAGGCCACAGTCACACGGGCCAGATAACGCGGGGAGGAGGCATGGCTATTAGCGCCATCACAATTTGAGCCGCTGCAACGTGATCAGACGTGACGGCGGCAAATAACGTTGTTTTTGTCGGCGTGTGGTTCTTGCAGCACTTCAGTGGGGCAAAAGGAGTGTGCTGGGGCGATCAGATGGAGACAATCTGTGTGTGGCCCATGGTAAACCGTTTGCTAGTAGCTCATGGCTGGTACTTTTTAACTCTGGATCTTCGACGGTAAGCTACGGGCTGGGGACGGGTGGGCGACGCTTCCCAGATGTTTCCGTATGATCGCGCCCATTTAATCCGCCCCGCAGTCGTGCCTCTCCCAAGGCAAATTCGCCATGTGACCAGGACCTTTATTACTTAAGGCAGAGTTTTTCAACCTTTTTTGTGCAAAGGCACACTTTTTTCATGAAAAAAATCACGAGACGCACCACCATTAGAAAATGTTAAAATTTTTTAACTCTGTGCCTATCTATATATCTAATAGTGAAGTGGCCCCGTCTGTGCGGATATCTAAATCCGCACTTCGGGGCCACCTGGGGGGGAGGGAGAGGTTTGTGCGCATGTGGGGCGGTCCCCACGTGTGCACAAAAATCTTAAAGTGTGTAAAAATTATGGGGGGGCGCTTATTTTAACGAAAGTAAAAAAGAGCATTCCCTGCGCATGCGCAGGGAACGCTCTTGGAACGAGGGCTGGAGTTTGCCGCCGCCGCGGACCCAGCTGGTGGGGTGTAAGAGCGGCCGCAAGGCGGCTGCAAGCCGCTGGCTCTCGCTTGGGGGGGGAGGCAG